TTTTTTTTTTTGTCTCTCTAAGAAAGTAGATTTCATTTTGCTTGCAGGCTCACCTTTGGAGATGCGTTTAGTGAAACTTGGAGTGGCATGTACAATGTCAGCGTCCCGCTCAAAGGGAATGTCTCCACACACCATGTCAAACAGAAGTACGCCCAGCGACCACACGGTGAGCGGACGAGCGCTGTAACGCTGGTGAAGGATCCACTCTGGAGGGCTGTAGACTCGCGTTCCTAAAAAGACAGAAAGGTCATTAGAAACAGCTCCACATTCATGTTACATTCATGCATATGCAATAACCACCCTGAAGCTGCCTTACCTTCAAAGTCAGTGTAAATGGAGTCCTTCAGTACAGCTCCAGATCCAAAGTCAATGATTTTGATGTCTCCGGTGCGGGTGTCAACGAGGATGTTCTCATCTTTGATGTCCCGGTGCACAATTCCCTCGGAGTGGCAGAATTGCAGGGCTTCAATGACCTGTTTGAGGAACCTGAAAAAGACTATTCTCATCAGTATTGTAGTTTACGGTTCGAATCGAATGTCAAAAGACATTGCTTTTTCGCACCTCTGTGCAATGGGCTCCTCCAGGGCCCCACGTTCAGTGATGAAGTCAAACAGGTCCTGGCAGTGTTGGGGTTTCTCAAACACAATGAGGTATCCCTGACCCGGCATCTCAAACCAGTCGAGCATCCGGATGATGCCGCGGTGACCCGACCCTGAACCTCTGCCCAGACACAGCAGGAGAGCGATCTCCATGGGAACTGCGTTTGCTGCACCAGGCTATGAAGGTCATAAGACAACAGTCACTGTTAACTTTGGATTTTGATTATTTTCCACTGGAAACGACGTTATGTTTAAAAAAATCCTTAGAAAAGTTTGACATATGGTACTGCAGGGGTAAACTAGGGGTTCTCCCTGGGTTATTAAAAAGGGGAACTACATTTTTATCTGTCACATATTTTTGTGTCTTATGAATATACCTAATATGATCAAGTCTATTACTGTTAAACTCCTTCTGACACATTAGGGAAAGTCCACTTAAAGGGATAGTTCACCCAAAAAATGAAAATTCGGTCATCAT